GGTTTTCTCAGCAACGTTTGCTGGTGCTACTGGCTGGTACAGTATTTCAAATAAACTGCACTGATTTTCAGATCTTTTCATTGCAGTGTTGGCTTGTAATGCTTGCATGTCTATTGACTTTAAACCATAATCAAGTGTACAAATTAAAAAAGTTTTTGTTCAAAAATGTATGCTCTTCCTTTGCATTTCATAGAATTAAAAAAATGAAACTTGAGATAATTTTTATTTTTGTAAACTTTGTTAAGAGTATAGCCTTCAACAACAATTTCTTTTTCCTATCATTACTCAAAATTTATTAACAAATCAACTTGAATTCAAATGCAAAAAAAAAGCCAAATTATTTTCTTATAAACCAAGAATTTTTTCTTACAATTTCAATTTCATGAAAATCAAGGCACAAAACATATTTTCCTACAATTTTGAACAAATTAACCTAAAATAATTTAATATAATATTCATTAGCCAGATTTTTTCATTTATTCAAACCCTGTTGGAATTTTGGTAAAAAATGTAAGTGGCGTTTTTTCTTAACATTTTTGTGTAGAAATAGTGACATTAGTCATTTCTTGTTTTTATATTGTTTTTATATTGTTTTATATTGTTGTTGTTTACACTTATTGTTATTTCATTTAGAAACTAACATTGTATAAGATATAATTATAATTGAGAACAATGACTAACTTTTGTTTATGTTAGTTTCTTATTACACTATGGCTGATCTCCTACTAATTTATAATTAGTAGGAGATCATTTTTAGGAGATAACTTTAAAGAAACACTGGTATTTCAAAGATAAAAACTTCTTGTCAGTGGTTGAAATTGTAATTCACTTACATATTCATTTGATTTGTTAATGTACACACAAAAGGTAGTATTTTGCTAACCTTTTTCTTTCCTTCATTATGTCCACAATAAGCTTACCTTGCCAGGCCCCAGGATGCAATGTCATCATTGAAGGTCCCAGCGAAGCAATTGCAATTGCATTATTCAACAGTCACCAGCTTCACCATCCTCCAAAATTGATTGACATTCATTCAGCTTTTTAAAAACACAAGGTCGCACTGTTGATCTATCTCCTTTAAACAAGAACTGCTACAGAGAAACTCATGCAATCAAATCGCCTTTCCAACTAGCTCGTTCAGTCCCAAGAAATTTTTGATTTGCAATCAAAATAGTGATTTTGACAACACAGAATCACTAATAATAGCCTGGATACGAAACGACATAGATAAAATGATTGCAGTAACATGGGATAGTGTCAAAGCAGAGACAGAAAAGGATACCGATTTTAAAGCATTAATGTTAGCAATAGAAAACAGTTTCCCAAAAAATAAGAATAACTTCATACCAAATCTTTTATCATTCTGGGAATACCGCAATGACTTGATGGTGTCTGACGGGGTTGTAATACACAATGCCAGAATTATAATCCCACCTACTCTACCGAAAGAGATATTGGACGTACTGCACTCAGCCCACCAAGGAGTATCGGGAATGACAGCCAGAGCTCAAGCTACTGTTTTCTGGCCAGGTATCACTCACAGCATACAAAGTAAGCGCGATAACTGTTGCAGCTGTAATCAAAATGCACCTTCTAATGCACGACTACCACCCACCCGACCTCACATCCCTGTGACACCATTTGAATGCATATTTGCTGACTATTTTGAATTCCGTGGCTGGGATTATCTGGTCATTGTTGATAGACTTTCTGGATGGACTGAAGCCTACAGAACAAAATCAGGAACATCAGAAATGAGTGCAAAAGGTCATATCACGTGCTTACGTAAACTATTTACAACATTTGGAGTCCCAGAAGAAATTTCAACCGATGGTGGTCCTCAATTCACCTCTGGAGAGAAAAAAGAGTTTCTACAACAATGGGGTATAACTCATCGCATTTCATCAGCCCACCACCCACAATCTAATGGAAGAGCTGAGCTTGCAGTTAAGTCAACAAAACGCCTCCTTGAAAATAATGTGGGACCAAACGGTGATCTCAATAATAACTCTTTTGTGAGGGCAATGCTTACAATAAGAAACACACCAGACCCTACTTGTCAGTTATCCCCAGCTCAAGTATTATTTGGTCATCCCATTCGCGACGCCATGCCTAGGATAAAATCCAGAATACCTATGTTTAATAAAGACCAATTCTCGAAAAAACGTGGAGACATGCATGGTCTGCAAAAGAAGAAGCATTACGATTGAGATATGCGAAGACCCTTGAATCACTTCAAGAACACACACGTTTTCTCACACCACTACATGAAGGAGACAGTGTCTTCATACAAAATCAAGTAGGGAACCACCTTAAAAAATGGGATCGTTGTGGAAAAGTTGTTGAATGTAAGGAATGACCAATACATCATTAAGGTTGAAGGAATAAGTCGACTAACATTGAGAATAGAAAATATTTGCGCAAATTCCTCAACCCACTAAAGTCATACGAAACCGAAGTTGCATTGACCACACCACCAAAAACAAGCTCTAGTCACTATAACTCTGCCAATTTGCCAACACCATTTACAGAGTATGTCCTAGAAAGTAGCAACAAAGTTACACTATCCCAACCGGACCTAGCACCATCTACAGTATTGCTACCGCCTCCTATATTAGCACCAGTGGTACCACCACTACCTCTACCAACAACTCCATTACCTTTACCATTGATGCCAGCATCTTTATCAACAAGCTTGCTGCATCTAGCAATACCACCCTTATTGAATACTGAAGTCGTAGGAAATCAACAATTGAAACGTTTATCCAGGTTACGTATCCCCAAGAAATTCTACCAACCAGAAACCGAAAAATCTTTGACAGTAGATGATTTTAAGAAATGAACCCAGAAATTATGTTTATACTCATTGACACTTAAAAACATGGAAGGGGATGAGGAATAGTAACATTAGTCATTTCTTGTTTTTGTATTGTTTTTATATAGTTTAATATTGCTGTTGTTTACACTTATTGTTAATTCATTTAGAAACTAACATTGTTTAAGATATAATTATAATTGAGAACAACGACTAACTTTTGTTTATTTTGTTTTTTGTAAACAACAAAAATGTTAAGATAAAACGTCAGAATTTTGAAAAATTCACATTTTGCAAATTAAAAACTTGAATGTGCTCGAACTAAGTATCTTAATTTAAAATATAAAATAAGTCAGCACATAATTTTAACAACAAAAAATCAGTTTTTAATAAAACTTTGGAACAAACAAAACTTTTTGGTGTTTAGTGAAAGGCATATCAAACAAATCAATCTATAATTGTTTGTTATGACATGCTTAGTGCGCATTTTTGGAAGTACTACTTTTACATTTTCTACATTATTTCTCTTTTCTTTTTTTGTAATTGCATAGGTTTTGTAACTTTTTTTTCTTTTACAAAAACTAATTTAAAAAAATTTGATGAAATGTAAGCTAATTATGAAAACTTAATTATTAAAAAAACTTTGCAAGGAGCAAAATTTTTAACACAAAAAACAATGAAAGTATGTTATAAACTTTAGTTGTTTAACAAAACTTTGACTGAGATCTGGTCTAATGTCTTGCTTGAAAAATTTACTCTGATTGCATAATTTTTTTTCTCTGAAAAAAATCTGAAATCTTCTTTCGTACTTTGAAAACCAAGGATAACTTCTAGTATGCTCATCATGAATTTTTTTTTTTTTTTTTATGATTTTTAACAAGTGTTTTTTTCATATAGATATGTATTTTTAAAATAAAATCTCTCCATATAATTTTTTAAATATATATATTTTTTTGTTGATGCAACCCCCTCTCTTAAAACTAAAGCTCCAAAACACAAACTCAACAACATCAAACAAGACCACTGCATGAATATATTGAGCAAAGTATTACTGGTGATATGGTTGGGTCTTGGTCCAAATTTTCAGTTTTTCAATTTTTAATTCTCATTTAAAGCAACTTATTAAAATTTTTATTTCATTTACATACAAAGTTTGTAGAAAATTTCTAAATAATATAACATTTGATATATAAATACAAAAAATCTTGCATTATTTAAATAGTAAATTATTGGGGGATTGGTTCGAAGTATTATTTTAAATCAAAATATGATATAGACTTATGTGAATCACTGACACAATAAACAAATTTAATGATTTATAATAACAATAAAACAAGTAATAAAACTAACTTAACATGTAAATTTTTCTGAAAATGATTCATTTCCTGAGCAATTTTTGACTATTTTAATGGAACTGAGATACCTAACAATAATATTAAGTTTTTCAAAAGCATTTGGCGTAACAATTCATTATTTATCTAAATCAAATTTTTTTAGTTTTAAATTTAATTTTTTTAGTTGCTAACGCATCAGAAGAGATCAGTTTCAATCAAATAGAAAGATATTCATTATAAGCTTTCAGCTATGATTCTACATCATAATAGAAATTAATCATTTGTAACAATAATAAAGCAACCATATAACAATGTAACAATATAACCATATAACAATGTAAACCATATAACAATCTAACCATATAACCATGTAACAATAATAATCAACCAAACAAAGCTAATATGTGAAAATGCATATACTAAGGTAACATAAAAAATATATTTAATTTAAAAAGTTAAATTTTTAAAGTTAAGATTTTGATTTTTATAGAAATTACAAGTACAAAGAAATTTGAAATTAAATTAATAAAAAATAAAAAAGTTTAATGAAAACCATTATCCATAAAATATTTATAGAAATTACAAGTGAAATAACAAATGAAAGCCATTTTCCATAAAATTTTTATAGAAATTACAAGTATAAAGAAATTACAAGTATAAAAAAAAATAATTTTATTTAAAAAGACCATAAAAAAGTTTAATGAAAACCACCAAACCAACAAAATAACAAAAATCAGTCACTTTTTTTACCAAACATTTTAAGCAAACAAAAGGATATTAAAACCTGATTGCTACAAATCATTTTGGAATATACTAAATGTAAAGTAATTAAAAAAAAAAAACATAATTACCTATGTTGGCAAAAAATCTTGAAGTTGATTCTGTTAAACCTAGAGTTTCTAAATGATTAAATTTAAAATTTCAAAAAAAATAATTTTTGTGAACAAAAGAACACAAAACTTACCAAGGAATAGAAGTAAAAAAACAATATATAGTTCTGAACAATCTTCACTTAGCAATTTTAATTTAAAGAACATTGTATCAACAAGTTGAATTCAAAAAAGTTACATTATTTTTTTAACAATATTTTATAGTACTGCCAATGACGTAGTGAAACTTTTTCAACAAATCAAAACTTTTTATTTATTCGTTAGTAAGTTATATTAATGTTCTTTACTCCAAATGCATAAATATTTTATTTATAATTTGGATGTTTATAAGATTTGATAAAGTTTTTTAAGGTTATACTTAAAAATATTATATAAAAATGAATTAAGTGATGGCTTTGAGCAAAATTGAAACCTAAATAACCTAAATGCAAATGAGGAAACTAAACGTTTTTGATAAATATAAAAATAATAAAATCTGATTTTATTTAACGCTACTCTATTTCAAACCTAAGATATTGTTTCAAAGTAAACAACCTGACAAAAATCAAATTAATACCAACATTCAGCATTTGGTAGTGACACCAATACTGATTTCAACCTTACATTGAGAGTTGAATGTCATTGCGTACAACACAATATTTACAAAAATAGATGCAATCAATTTTAAATTTTACCTAATACAACCTAGTAAAAGTAAAACTGATCTACCATTAACAAATGAACATCAAGTTATTTTTTAAAAACAATAATTTTAGAAAAAATTGAATTTAAAAATTAAAAACTTGGTTTTGCACAAGTAACAGAAATAAATTTCTGAAAGCACAGGCATCAAAGAATAGAGTAACATGAAAACAGAAAATAATTAAAAACATTCATAGTATATTGTTTCCTTAATAATAAATGTTTCAGCTATTGGTCAAATAATGCTGCTGCTAATTAAGCAACACAATTGATTATGGAAAAGTCTCAAAATATTATTTATTTTGTCTAAATTTGACTCAATATTTATTTAAAAATACTTATCTTATCTAAATTTGACTGAATAAATAATATATATTGATGCACTTATAATGCATATAATTTGACAAAATAATTAAAATTTATTAACGCACTTATAATGCTTATAATTTGGCAAATGAAGAGAGAGAAAATTTGATTACTCTTATTCCAAAAACAACATAAATGTATATTATTGATGCAATGAAAATTAATATAAAGAAAACTGTTTTAATGGAATTGAAAAAAATACATCAGCTAGTATGTTATTTGCTTAATTAAATACAATTATAAGACATCACAGAAAAAGTTCATGAGTGACTGATATACATTGCAAACTGCACATTTTCAACTGGTAAATGTATCTTTAAATTATTTAAAGAGAAACTCAGTGCAAGTGAAATATATAAAGAATTACACAAGTAATACTCAAGATTATTTTGCATATATCTGGTACAACATACATGTGTTGCAACTTTTTAAAATGATACCACCTAATAAACAACCTATTTAATTTCTGTGCATCACAATAACTAACACAAGTGGAAGCACTTGTAAAAATCAGTGATGAAAATAAATCTTTACTAGATAATTATATCATGTTTGCTTGAGGTAAAAATAAGTTGAAAAAAAATATTGAAATCACTATTGAAAAAAAACTACCAGCAATAATATTAAATAAATTCATTATTTATCTGATTTAAAATGTTTAACTTAGAGCGCTAGTAAATTAGTATTTTGTATAATAAAATATTATCTAACATCAGCCTCAAAAACAATTGTGAAAAATGTTTAATATATCACATAGATCCATTTTTATGAATTAATAAAAGTAAAGACGTGAAGGGTTTAATTTAGCATTTAGCAATTAAAATATTTTCAAAATGATGAAAAATGATTTTAAAAACTTACTTTTTTAAAATTACTTTTGTCTTTGAAAAAATTAATTGTATCTATTATTAAATATTTTTAAAAAATTATATGATTTAAATATATAAAGATATCTATAAAAAATATCTAAAAAAAAGAATATTTTTATTAAAAAAAAGAAAAAAAAATTGTCGTTAGGCTAATTTAAGTTTTGTTTTTTCAAATTAAAATTCCAAGTTATCACAAGCATGAGAATTATTTTCAATGACAAAAGAATATAAATTTTACACCCACATTTTTTTGGAACAGAAGTTAAACACTATAAGAACTTGTAGCTTTACAAGTTATTAGGCAAATTTTTATTTTAAATAAAACTTGGTAAACATTACTAAACTAATAGTAAAGTATTTATAAATCCTGGATTATCCATTGTTCTGTTACTTAACATAATCAAAATACTTTTCAACACAATATATTGTTTTAGAAACTAGACTGTCAAATGATTAAAATTATCAAATAACTTTTATTACATTCTCAATAATTATCTAAATGGTAATTTTACCATAAATGCATTTTTAAAACAACCGTGGTAAAATAAATTTCAGTAATACAAGCTTGTTTTACTACAGGTATACGAACCGCAAAAACAACCCTACCGTAAAAACCACAATGTTGGCTTAAGTGACCTAGCATGTAAAAAAAAATTCAGGATTCAAAAAACTTGATATATTTTGATAGCTTATATGTCAGCATATAAATTAAAGCAGTTTTAGTGATTTTTTTATTTGTTAAATATGTTGGTATCTGCACTAGAGTAAAAATTTCAATTATAAAAACGTGTAGTTTTTTTTGTTTTGTGGAGCCTAGAAGCCGTATCAGAGAATAAGTTACCTATGGATTGTAACTAGATACTGAAAAAAGTTTTTTTTTTCTCAAGTAGTCATAAATCTTTATAACACCCTCATAAAGAAAGGAAGTATTATTGTTGTTTTTGGGGTACATTTTATAGAATTCACTTTACAGGCCATGTTTTGAAATAAAAAACGACAACAATAAACTACCATTGCATTAGATTTTTTTTAAAGAAAATAATATATATTTATCTTAAAAACAATATTTGAACGCAGCAGTAATAACACATCTAAAATGGCTGCAAACTTTATAACATTATAACAATAGGTTACTGCAACAATGTTAAGATAACATAGATAAATAAAATGTTAAGATAACATAGATAAATAAAATACTTTAACTGATTACTTTAATTCAAAAAAAGATTATTGATTGTCGTTGCATTCGTTATAATGGTCGTATATCAGTCTTTTAGATATGGAGAAGTGCTGGTTTGCTGGTAAAAGCATAACTGGTTTAACACCATTAACTCTGCAACTCACTTTGCTGTAAATTGAACAGAGAACATTAAGACAATTAGGACATTGCTTTAGGCCAAAAGCTTGACATTTTCTTTGTTTGCAAAAACATTCAACTTTACATTTAATAAACTTTTCTTTAGCTTCTTCTTTCTTTTTTTTGGCTTCCTCCTTTGCTGTTATCTTTCGTCGTTTCTCTTCTTTTATATCTTTCACTTTTGCTGCAACATCTTTTGCTGCAACATCTTTTGCACGCATCGAACTATAGACCTGAGTAACACGAGTAGATATTTTTTCAAGGTTTGGTTTAATTTTCTTAATAGTTAGCAGATCAGGAATATTTTCTCATTGGAGGCTTTGCTCAACCATTTCTCTAATCAAGATTTGAGACTGGTCAAACTTATCTTTCCAGTAACTTGCCGAACCTTTCCTTATACCAACTGGTGACAAAATGGTTGATTCAGGTTTTTTAAAAGAAGTTGACGCTGGTTCTTTTTTATGAATGCATTCAGCAGCTCGTTCAAATTTATCTTGTTGCATAAAGTTAACATTTAATTCAAAAGGTGTTATTCCAACTCTTTTTGCACTAGAAACAAGAACCGATTTTGATGTCCATTTCTCCCATATATTGCCTAAGATGGTCATAAATCCCTCTCGATTAATTGATTGAATTGGGTTGAAAAGATAATTCTTGGCAATTCTGTACTCATGATGGAGATTTTTATTAAACTGGTCAAGCAACTAAGTTACACCAGTAGTGTCGGGAGGAGAAATAAATAACCAAATTCGTTTTGAAAGGAGGTATATTAAACCGTCATAACTGAATCGTGAACTATGTCCATCAGATAATAAAACAACAGGTTGTTCTATTGCCTTCTTAGTAAGGTAATCATCAAACTCTTGGCAAGCCGCCTTAAAAGTGTCATTATCTGAAATCCCATTTTCAGATGTTGTAACAAGGAGGTGACTGATTTTTTCTATGGCTATTTGTGGTGTTGTCTGGCTTATTATTCTAACCGAGGAAAAAATGACTTAACATATACAAACATCACCTGAAAAAGACACAAAAGGGTGAATTGAAATACATTCCCTGTTTTCTTTATGCATTTTTAAGCATTGTTCACCTTTCCCTGCATATACAAAGCCTGTTGAAGTACCATCGACACCATAGTTCACAAATTGCGGTGTCTCATCATCATTAAATATTCTTGTTGTGTCAATGTCACCCTTCCATACACCCTCGTCTACTTTTTCAGCATTTTTCATAATACCGGCTGCCTGAAGTTCCATTGCAAGATCATTCAAATGATTACAAGCCATTTCTTGGGTACAGTTAAGTGCTCTGTTTATTGATACCTGACCCTGGCGTTTAATTGTTAGGCTTGAATGCTTTGCAAGGAATTGTGTCCAAAATGAACGACTAAGTCTGAAACAATAAAAAATGGTCTAAAATATTCTATAGAAATAACCCTAAACATTTGACTTGCACTTACAAATGATCAACATTCACTGCTATATATATATATAAAAAGCAAGGCAACAAATATTACTATTGAGTAATTTTGATTATGTAAATTTCATTTTTTCTTTAGATCAAACATGAACAAAAAATCAACAAAAAATCATTAGACTTACTTCCCATTAACCAGAGCTGATTTTGCATTAGGAAGTTGATTAAGTGAGACAACTTAATCAACTTCCGACCTCCTTTGCTCTTTTATTCATGTAGTCACTTATCCTTAAAATATCAAAAAGGAGTTTGATCAACTCTGT